CCATCTTTATACTAAAATTTCATTCACATTTCACTGAGAGTGTTTATGCTCCATGCCTGTATGCATAAATGCTGTGGGTTGTGTTTGAATGATGAAATAGCACGTGAAACACCTAATGCCTTATTCCTCAGGAAAAGTGCTACAGCACGAGTTCCACATGATAAAACAATAACAAATGTTTTATAGTCTTCATGCATTTGTTTTCTATATATCTTTGTTGAAATGTGACAAATGAATCGCAGTGAAACCATAACATTTAGTCTTTGTGAACAAAACATTTGTGATATATTATGAAGTGGTGCTGATCAGATGAGTTCATTTTTTATAATTACTGTATTTTATTATTTTTTGTGTGTATAGTCCTCTCATGAAGCCTTTGCGTCTGATTTTATATATCTGTATTTTTGAATAATTGAATATTTTTTTATTTTTTTTTTTAATTTTATACGATTTTTTTTATTTTTTTTGTAAAAAAATTACATTAAAACATCTGATTGACTCATAATAAGTGAATTCTGTGGGTTTGTCATTATTATTACTATTTTCAGAAAAGTTTGTATTTAGAAATAACTGAACTAAGTTACACTGAGTTATTAGAGCAATCATAGTTTGTCTGTACATTCTGGAATGTGACTTCAATTCTGATGGATTAAAACTTTCACCATTAAAGTTTTGAAGTTTTGAGTCTGTTCCTGGTTTTGACACTAGAGGACATTCCAGTGGTATATATGCACTGCTTGTAGTACACACACTTTATGTATAAATGAAATATAAGGCAATTTATGACAAATGTTTGATACTGTCTTTACAAAGAAATTCCATGGGAAATATTGGTAGTGAACATTTAAAATAATCATAATATAAGCAGTGAAAGAAAAGAAAAAAACACATGGATGATTTCGTCTTTCTGTCCTTACAGTTCTGGGTGCTAATTATGTTGCAAGTTAATACTAGTGGATATATGAATTATTGAATGCTGAATTCAGAAATCACTTGGTTGCACGGAGCAGGCAATAATATAAAGTAATAATAAATAAGTAAATAAAATAAAAATCTGCATGGCACTATAAATATCACAATAGCAAATCATACATTGTATTTATTCTTAAAATGAATCCCAGACATTGACAGACAAAAACAGGATATGATCGTTACAAACATCTGTGAGATCAAGAATAGTTATTGTTAGAACTCTTCAAACTAGCAGAGCTTGTCTACAGGGTCACAGCATGAGTTCATAAGATCGTGGATTTATAGTGAGATGCAAATGGCTTTGGTTGGAGAGAATCTTTTTTTATTTTTTTTGTGTACAGAAGAAAATTGTGTCAAACTGTTAAAATCATGGGCTGAAATGGAAAAACACCCTACAACCACACATGCTCTAGACACAGACACAGTGTTGACACCTCAGAAACAAACTCATGAACAGACATCAAACACAAACATACAGCAGCAGACACATTCTCATGCTGAAGATGTTTGTCTACCAAACCTCATTTCACAGAATGAAGCAGTTCACTTTGACTTGTTGAACATTTTACATTTATGGTGAGCAGATACTGTATATACATGTCCTCAATTTGTTTTTAGACCCAAAAAATTAATATTGTAGTAAATCAAGCTCAAAAGGGAAATATTTATGACTAATTATAACTGGTTAGGATTAATAATAAATATTTAGATTATATCTTCGAATTAACTGTAGCAGAATCAATATTACAATTATTGGATCTATCCGTCCACCGAGCAGACAATATAATCATTTATCAATTCAAGGAACTATTATTTTCCTGGCCAAGGAAGAATAAACTGTCCTTCTTTATGCAATACTAGCAGTAATTTAGCAAATGTAGCAAGGGTTCAAACATTCATTGACTTCGAATTGTGAGCAGCAAACAGAGACAATCAGTTGTGAATATAAGGGATTTAATAAATGAAACTATATCAAACATATAACTAAGCAAAACTCATATATATATATACAGAATGAAACAAAGTAAGGAAAAGAGAGAGGAAAGAAAAGGATGGCAGTATTTCACATCAATTTTAGACACAACCTTTGAGAAACATCAGATAATCAAAAATCACCTTAAAAGGGGCTGAAACTTAAATACGCATCTAAATAATTGTAAACGGTTACTTGCTTTTAGATTGCTGAACAAGAGTCCGGATGCGGTAGACAACGGAGGTCTTTGATGAGTTCGTTAGGAGTGAGCTGGAAGTTTTACTTCTGGTTCTTCTGAAGAAGGAAAAGTCCACAGCAACTAAAGTTACTTGAAGATAAAAACTACCGGAAAATAAAAACTCAAAAGTGGAATGGCCAATCAGAGGCATGAATTTTGAGCGGGAGAAGTTTCCTTTTTTTCCCTTTATGGCCTATTTGCATGTTTTATGGCCGGTCTGGAATTGCTGCCATTTTAACCCAAAATATAGTATAAATCGTATGATGCGTTTCACAATCACATACTGTACATCATTGTTTGAGGAATAAAAAGCAGATAATATTGATACCAAGAAACAAACATTTAGAATAGATTAAACCAAAGATACATACATACACCTGAATATCAGTGTTTATGGCTTTAACTAATACAAATAACGAGTGGTAACTCAGCTAATCTAATAGGGAAACGTACAAACAACACATGCAATATACCAAATATATTTGTAGAGTATAATAGAGTAACGGTCTTTACGTGTGTGTGTGTTTGTGTGTGTGTGTGTGTTAGTTTGCTTGGTCAGCCAGGCCCATCGGGGTCATTTACAGCTCTTTGGACAGTGTTTGAAGTCAGATGGGGGAGATGATAGTGGGGGGGACTGGTTAGAATCTCCTTGATGGCGAGGAGCCATTTGACAATTTAGACCCCCATACAAACGTAAAGTCTCTGACCAGAACTGTAATTTATATGCAAATGTCAAAAGGCTAAAAGGGTCTCTTAAGCCATAAAACCCCAAAGATCATGCATGATTCTATGCAGACGCTACAATATTGTGTCATTTACTCACACTCATGTCATTCCAAACACATAAGACTTTCATTTATCTTCATTTTTGTCCATTTAATGAACATTTTCAAGCTTCAAGAAATATATACAGTCAGTAATCCATTTGAATTGAGCGGTTTAATTTACGCTCAGGGCGTTTTTTGGTAGTTTCGCCTAAATTTGACACTCACATTCAAATGTTTACCCTACACATATACAACGGAGGAAATGAAAAACAAATGGTTTAATTGTAAAGAAAACCCTTTGAACTACAAAATATGAGTGTAATTCTTTATAAATAACATTATATATTTTTCAAATATTACAATAAACACAAAAAAAAACATAGGCACTTTTTGAGTTAAAAATTTCTTTTTTTGAAAGTCTGTTATTAAGGTTCCATTAGGTCCAGCTCTCTGCAATTTACTTTGTTTGATGCCACTAGTTGCCAAAATGTACCAGAAAAAAATAATCTTTCAAATAACAGCTTATAAACAGGAGTTATTACACTATAAGTGAAGCGAGTCAAATTGTCTATTTATGCATCTAAATGTGTCATTGTGAGTTTCCTTTGCAAAAACAGGCTTTATAAAACACATTACCCCCACAATCCTATTTTACTGTGTGCCATAAGCACTTTTCTTGATTACTGATTGAATTATGTTTCATTTTTATGTTTTTCTAAGTAGTAATATACAAAATGGCATAAGCGAATTGGACCAAATTTCACATTTTGTGTTTTCTACAATCAGTTTTATTCTTTCAGGATGCACAAGACTGTCTACATTATAAAATATATCTGGTCTATCACAATCTAAAATAGAATTCATATCCTCCAGCTTTATATCATTCTATTTATGTGCATTCTGTATTGGGAAACTGATTCATAGCAGCTTCTCACCTCATCAGCTGATCCATTCCTGTATCCAGCGGCTCTTCCTGCCAACATCTTTGCATCCCTGGACCAAAGCTGAGCTAATTCGCTAGCCGGCAACTATCTCTAATATTCAAAGCGTCAAACAAACACATATCAAAATGTCTGCAAAATTACTAAATGTAAATGTAAATGTATATCAAAATTTGTATTATGTATGCCTGCAAAATGCTAAATGAAGCATAAACATTTTTAATGTGATTTTGGACCCGTATCCGGGTCCGCAGAGTTTAAGTTTAATCTAAGTCTTCTGAAGAGACATGATCACTTTATATGACAAACAGATTTAATTTACCGTTTATTGATATATCGACACTGAAAATTGTACATACATAGAGCTCATAAAATATGGTAAACTGAAGCTAAAACCTGCATGTTTGATGCACACAAAAAACAATGAAGTTTGTTCTCGCACATCAAATAAGTAAGTTTTTAAAGGCAGTTTAGGTGATTTGGTAAAAAAAAAATTGTTATTCTGGTTGAAAGTCTTTTCACATCCCGATAGCAATCATTAAGTTAAGTGGTCTGTGGGATGTGTAGGACAATAAAATGTTCCTTGGACCAAGGACTACGATAGTCTGTCCTACCTGTCTGTCAACATATGTATTTGCATAACTCCAGGCATCCTGTTCACACAGACATGATACGCCATCAGCATGTTCCGATACACTATTGCAGATAGAGCGAGAATGGAAAGTGTTATTATTGCAATATTATGCGCTTTATATTGTAATGTCTCTCCGGTGAATGAGACATGAAGTAATCTGACTGCATTCAACCCTCCACCAACGCTGTTTCCCATCCTGTCGCTGGTTAGTCTCTGGTCTGCCTGTGCACATTCATGTGTTTGGGAGGAGGCTTTGGAGAGTGATTTGCAGAGAGGATGGAATCTTATGCTTTCAGCTTTTAAGTTTTCTGTTTTACATAATCCATGTAAATGGGTTGTTGTTGTTGTTTTTGCGATTCTTACCAGTCCAAGAACTCAGCCATAGACTCTGCATCTGAGGGTGTCTCTAGAGTTTCTCAATGAAGGTAATTTCAGGTAATGTTTGGGACTGAAGAAAAAGACTGAAGTTTGATCATCATCTCATGATGACAGGAACATACTCCGCGTGTTCCTCCTCTTCGACTTTCTATAAAAACATGCCACATAGTGAAAAATTAGTTTGCCTTTCAAAAGTTAACACATTTTCTTTAAAATCAAAAATTGACGTGAAGTAATAGGGTTGTGATACCTTTATATACAGTACCTATCGTACATCCAATGGTACCACTATGAACTCTTTTGGGTTAAATAAGGTACAAAGGTGACATTTTGACAATTATGCCCCAGTGACAAGCTATTGCAAAAAGATCAAATTTTTTTCATTGTACCATGAACTACACAGGCATGTGCAAAATATGATGTATATGATATGATGATATATGATGTAAGCTGAAAAACTGACAACTTTGTAAATGGAATAATGACAATAGACAACTGTGTAAACTACCAATCAGATTTAATACCCTATATTAAAGTAATACAAAAAAATAAAACACGATCTGATGCATTATTTTGCTGTAACAACATCCAGTCCTATCAGATGGCTTGTTTTCTGCAAAAATGAACACTGTTGACTACTCAAAACAAACACAATGTTCATGAAATTAACTTAAATTGGCAAAATGGAAGGTAACTTCATCGTTTTGTGCCAGGGCTACATTAAACATTTTTGATAACATAACTAGTCAGTGGATCTGTAGTTCCAAGTATGATTTGCATGAGACTGCAAATGTTGACAGTAAATGTTGTATTTTGTGTTTTTCCAGATTGCATGCTAATATGTGACAGGGCTAGCATCTAGTAAACTGACTAAACAGACTTGGTCTCGTTCTAGTCTTGTTGAATTAATTAAATATGTTATTTTGCTTAATTTAAAAAAAAAATGTATATAATCTTTACTGACTAAAGAGTTTACAGTTATTTAAGAGTGTTGATAGTTGTCACGAATCCGGTCCATGAACTTCTGTCGGCTAACCATCAGAGGTCACCCTTCCCATTTTCATTGACTCTCGCACTCACACTGTTGCATATCATCCCGGACTACATATCCCATCATTCACAGCACTGATTGCACACAGCTGGTTCACTAATTGCACACAACACTGATTGCACCCAGCTGTTTCATATCACTCCCTCACTATTTAACACTCACTCTGATCCCTTCCCTCTGCCGAGTATTGTATGCGTTTATCTCTCTCTTAGCGATAGCTACTCTACAGAGCCTGTTTCCCTTCGATAGCCTTAGCCTAGTCTTGCCTTGTCTGTTTCCTCGTTTTCTGATTATTGCTTGTGTACTTCAGACTACCTCTCTCGTCTTGCCCTGTTCGGATACTGTTTGCCCCTGCCTGGACCTCTGCATTGTTATTGGATACCCCTCGTGTCAAGCCCTCTGGATATTGTTAGCCGCTTATCGACCACGCCCGGTTTTGATTACTCTTCTGTCTTGCCCTCATTATACCTGTTTGCCATTGTTCGACCCTGCCTGTGTTTCTGACCTCTTTCTTGTCAGCCACGTTACAATAGTGAAGTTTTCACATAAAATTACATAATGTTATGGCATAATGTAAATAGGACCCACTTTATATTAAGTGTCCTTAACCACTATGCACTTACTTTTAAAATTAAGCATTTTACACAATTAACTTATTGTATACAAACATTATTTTACATAGCGTACATATATTTGAAAATACCAGCCTGTAAATACATCCATAAGGAATTTCTGCGGTTACATCTATAATTACACTGTTGACCCTACGCCTTAAACCTAACCAGATCACTAAACCTGTCCCTAACTTTACCCGTACCTCACCTTAATGGCAGAAAAAGTGTTTTGCAATTCAACATGAACACAATAGGTACCACAATAGGTAACAATTAATTATTTTATTATTAAGTAGTATTAAAGACACCTAATATAAAGTGGGACCTGTAAATATCTGATCTCATTTAATGTGTTTATACAGACACAAACATATCAAAATCTGACTCACTGCTAAAATAATTACAGAGACTAAATGCAGAGATTAAAGTTTCTTACCAATTTGCGTGTTTTTCTTTTGTAGAACGTTGTCTCGGCATAATTTATTTCTTCATCACAAATCTGAACTATTTAAAGGACAATAATAGTAGATTAAAACACAAATAGATCTGTTTCTTCACAACATATATTAAGGCACAAATGTAAGCATTTTGTAATGCAATTATTAAATTAAAAGAAATTGATTAATAGCATTTATGAATTTGGCATTATAACGGTTCACACATACATAAAAAAATATCTTAACAGAGTATGCAATAATTATAACAATATGATTGACTTTTTAATTTTTATTGAAGCTCAACAAATTACATTGTCATTCCTAGAAATGTTCATTTGAACTCCTGCAGAGGGCTGAATCTTTAAAACATATAAGATTTCTAGAGCTATCAATTGATTAATATGTTTAGATTATTTTTAAAATACTTGTTTAAAACCAGTAACACTTGCCTTCTTGATCAGTTCTTCTACATTCCCTGTAGATGCAGAAGATCCCAATTACAGCAACAATCAACAGAGATCCAGCAGCAGCAGAGATCAGCACTATTAGAGGTGAGTCTTGTTGTGAAGTAGAGTGCTGTAAGAATAAATCTAGAAGTGAATGTGTCAGTCTGATTTACAACAAAATACAGAGATCATATCATAAAACTGCTGCTGTACCTGAACATGGTTGACAGAGTTGAGTGATATTGAGATTATGTCTGGTCTGGTTGCTGATGGGATTGTTGAGCACACAGCTGTAGGTGTTTTTATCCTGATATTCCACCTCCAGAGGTAGAGAGAGACTGATGCTGAGATCAGACACACTGATGCTGGACAATAAACTGTTTCCTTTGTACCAGGAGAGAGTCACATGACCCACATTCACCACTGAACACAGCAGTGAACAATTCTGCTGAGATGATGATGATGAACATTGTGAAGAGTTACTGCTGATGACAGGAACAGGCAGACGAGCTGAAAAATAGAGAATAAAGAGAAATCTGAATAAATCATGTCATAGCTATTGTGTTACTGATGGTGTTCCCCAAGGCTCAGTCTTGGGGCCTCTTTTATTCATTATCTACAAACCCAATTCCAAAAAAGTTGGGACACTGTACAAATTGTGAGTAAAAAAGGAATGGAATAATTTACAAATCTCATAAATTTATATTTTATTCACAATAGAATATAGATAACATATCAAATGTTGAAAGTGGACTTGTCTCCTTAGTCCCCAGACATTTGCAGACTGTTATAAAAAGAAGAGGGGATGCCACACAGTGGTAAACATGGCCTTGTCCCAACTTTTTTGAGATGTGTTGATGCCATGAAATTTAAAATCAACTTATTTTCCCCTTAAAATTATACATTTTCTCAGTTTAAACATTTGATATGTCATCTATGTTGTATTCTGAATAAAATATTGAAATTTGAAACTTCCACATCATTGCATTCTGTTTTTATTCACAATTTGTACAGTGTCCCAACTTTTTTGGAATCGGGTTTGTATTTACTGCAACTTAAATTTTTTTTTTAGAAAGTTTGGAATTAATTTCCATTGCTATGACGATGACACCTAGCACTATGTCTTCCATGCCTAATTCAGTATTTCCTTCTCCTCTGTTAAGCTGTTTATCTGAAATACAAAATTGTTTTTCCATCTAATTTCCTTAAACTTAATAGCGATTAAAAAAAACTTAAATCCTTCTTGTAGGTACAAAGTCTAATTTGGTTAAATCTGGTCGTTTTTCTGTGACTGTTGACAAGTCAAGTTTTTCCATCTTCTTAGGTAAAGAATATGGGTGTTGTCCTCGATAGCATCTTATCTCTCGAAAATCATATTAATAATATTATCCATTCAGCCAACTTTCATTTGCGAAACATAAATCGTCTTCATCCATTTTTGACAACCAATAGCACTGCTATTCTTGTTCATGGTTTGGTCACATCACATATTGATTACTGCAACTCTATTCTATATGGTCTTCCTTCTAAAACATTTAATAAACTGCAGCTGGTCCAGAATTCAGCCCCACAAATTATTTCTGAACCTACTTTCATAGAGCACATTCCTATTCTCTATCGCTTGCATTGGCTACCAGTTAAATATCAAATTGAATGCAAAATCCTGCTTCTTACATATAAGGCCCTTAATAATTTAGCTCCATTATATCTCTCTGATCTTCTTCAAATTTACACTTCTGTACATACTCTTAGATCCTCTTCCATCTCTTTAGTTCAACAACGTGTTTGTATGAGATCCAGGGCTTATAGTTATGCTGCCCCTTACTTGTGGAATGCCCTTCCCCAGGACATTCATAACAGCAATAGTCTTCAAACTTTTAAATCACATCTTAAAACTCATTTAAGTAGGCATATCTATAATTGTATTGTTGATTCGTTTTTATTTTTAGTATTTTATTGTATTTTTTATTGTATGTCTGTTCTGCTGTTGTTGTTGAAAGGCACCTATAAATAAAATAAATGATATTAAATCTAAGCAATCTTATTTTGGTCCAATGTTTTGAGTGGCTTACAGTAAGTGAATGTGCCTTTGATCTTAATATATAAAATGAGTTAATATGTAAATAGTTAATAAAACAGCAATCTGTGAATGTTTGGACAAATGATCTCTACTCACCATAGACAGAAACATTGAATGTTTTTGATATCAGTTTTGCTCCACTAATCTCTAGTTTGTCGAGTCCAGTATGTTCAGTTGTGATGTTTGTGACAGTCAGAGATGCAGTCTGTCTCTGAATTTCCCATCAGGACCATCATCATATGTGGAGAAGATTTGCTTCTTTTTTTTTATTTGAGCTATCATAGAATTGTTGACTCCAAAATTCCACAGTATGTCTTCATCTTCACGTATTTCAGTAACATCAATGTTTAGAGTGACACAATCTCCCCCAATCAATGACACTTATTGTATTCCATTTGTTTCAGCCCCAAACACACCTGAAGAATGTGAACAAGAGCAAATTAAAGCTCTGGATGTTTTCTACAACCTGAAACCAGCTGTAGATTGAATTGTCTAAATATGAACTAAATAACATCCAGAGCAGTGAAGTGAAAGCTGAGACATAAGCACGAACCAATATTTTTTTCTTTATATATTTACTTATTAATATTAACTTATCTAGAGTAAAATCAATGTGTGGTTACATAATAATAAAAAAATAATAATAATTAAAGCTTAACATTTTTATTCTGCTCGATATTTAAAAAAAAAAAAAAAAAAAAAATTTTAATAAATGAGACACTGAGATCAGTAGATAAAACAGATTAATTGAATCTCACTTAGGTTCTCAAATCTTTTGTGCAAATATTTTTTTCTTTATAGGGGGATTTATAAAAATATTTTTGAGAAATTGCTGGTAAGAATTGGCATTTGTAATTTTTTAAATAAAGATATTTACAGTCACAAAAGATGCCTGGAATTTGAAAATGTTTCACTGGTGGTTTTAGCTTTCTGAGCAAGAGAAATTTACATTCACAATAGAAGGCCTGAAAATGTCAAATTAAAATTCCAATGAAAACAGAGAACTGAATCAATGATATTGATTCATCTTGTATATACAGTAGAAAGCTGAAAGAGAATTGAATTTACACCGTTAACATGCTTTTATAACTTACCCATCGGACGCAACCAGCACAAACAGAACAAGCAGAACAAAACAAGTGTGTGAAGCATTTTCCTTAAGCTTTCAGTGAAAAGTTTGATCTAATGTCCACTGCTGTCTGCTGAAAGCTCTCAACCTGTTGATCTGATGAATCCTCCTCCAACAGAGTTTGATGCTCAGTTCAACATAATGTTCTCTGAATGTGTTCTGAATATCTATCTATCTATCTATCTATCTATCTATCTATCTATCTATCTTAATGTTCATAATGGTGGAAAACATTGACATTTTTAATGACAGTCTGGCTGTGGTAAATATATAAATGTAGAAGGATATTACTCTAGTAATAAGAAGAATATGAATCTAGCCAACTCTAGTGTTTTACAAATGGTTGAATTTGCTCAGTTTAGTCCATTTTTGCGCACGGAAATACAAAGTTAAAAAAGTTACAAAGTGTCTGCATCTAACATTACTATTCTTACTTACAGTAAGTGCAGCTTCTGAGTCAAACCGAAAGCTGCTGCAGTAGGTTTTCTTCAGAAACGTGGTTTGTTCCGCTGGGTGGACAAACATCTTGTGCATGAGAGATCTGGCATTTAGAGCATGAAGCTTGTAGGTGAAGAGCTACTTCCTGCTTTTATGCACAACTCAGACACTTTAACCTACAGAAACATTGAACCATGACAAGAAAGTGTAATAGAAAAACAGTGATCATATTTAATGCATATTTAAGGCTTTTTTCACATTTTATTATAAAATTGTTTAATACTGTATCTGGAAAGCAGTAGGCAAAAAAAAGTTTCCACCCACTTTGCAAAAAAAAATGTCAGTGGTGTCCAACCTTAAATTCTGCTTACTTATTTATGTTTTTTATGTCACAACTATGAAACAATAAAGACATATTCTAAAGGTTTAGTAGATTCTCACTGGTGATTTATACTTACTACCGTTGAGATTTGGCAAAACCTCTAAAATGGGACCTATTATTGACATCAGTGGGCCCATGCTCACATTGTCAGTTCAAAACTGATTATTTGTGTATTTTATGAACTGCAGTATAGTTAGTTAATTGTTATATAATAGACTTCGTTCATCTTCGGAACACAAATTAAGATATTTTTGATGAAATCTGGGAGCTTTCTGATCTTGAATAGACAGCAATGCAACTATCATGTTCAAGGCCCAGAAAGGCAGTAAAGGCATAGTTAAAATAATCCAAGTTATATCAGTGGTTCAACCGTAATGTTATTAAACTATGAGAATACTTTTGTGTGTCCAAAAAAAAAACTAAAATAACAACTTTATTCAACAATTTCTTCTCTTCCATGTCAATCTCCACTGGACGTTTACAAGAGTACCAGCCATGTGTGTGATGAACCCAGATACGCTGTGCCTTGTTGCAGAGGAATGTACACGCATGCACACCTTTCTGGGCCTTGAACATGCGTTGCTGTCTATTCAAGATCAGAAAGCTCTCAGATTACAAAAAATATCTTAATTTGTGTTCCACTTTACTTTGCAGTTTTAGAAAGCAGATTTAAACAAATAAATCAAACCAGCAAATGTTTTCATTGTGGGCTGTCAGAAAAGGTGAGGTTTGACTCAATATGAAAATATAACTGAGATCTTCTTTATTACCATCACATGCTTTTCACATTGAGTATTGTCACATTATGAATTTGACAGATTTCAAGTCTATTGTTAATGAGAAAAAAATGCACTATATTAGTTCGTTTTCCTGCTGATTCTTATCGCTACTTTTGCTGTTCCTCAAAATCCACCAGATGATCATTTATTAAATAAATCAATATTGAACTGATGACATAGGTAGACAAGTGTAAATATCAGTCAAAAGTATTTTTAAGGTTGATTTTTAGTCAATCTCTAGTAATAATGATTGTCTGTTTTTAGCTGTTCCAGATTCAACTGCTGCTGCTGCTGCTACTGTTGCTGTTGTTGTTGTTGCTATCCGAGTTAGTGCTGGCTGCAGATAAAGTTTTAATTGTTGGTGATTTTAATATCCATGTTGATAATGAAAAAGATGTATTGGGATCAGCATTCATAGACATTTTGAACTCTATTGGGGTTAGACAACACGTGTCAGGACCTACTCATTGTCGAAATCATACTCTAGATTTAATACTGTTACATGGAATTGATGTTGATTGTGTTGAAATTATGCAGCCTAGTCTTGTGCAAACTTTATATAGCTAAAACTGTAAATTCTACTCCTTGTTACAAGTATGGTAGAACCATCACTTCTACCACAAAAGACTGCTTTGTAAGTAATAACCTCAAAGTGATGATGTTACTGACCATTTCCTTGTATCGTGCATGCTGCGTATTACTGATATTAACTACATGGCTCCGCGTTATCGTCAGGGCAGGACTATTGTTCCAGCCACCAAAGACAGATTCACAAATAACCTGCCTGATTTATCTCAACTGCTCTGTGTACCCATAAGTACACATGAACGACTTTTCGAGACTGATGTCAGGTCTGAGTCGGTAAAATGATCCGAACTTCCCATCACTTATTTCAAGATGTTCTCAGTGCTTCCTGTTCAACGGGAAATCTCCCCCCCCCCCTTTTATGGGAAGTGCCATGGGATTTATAATGACCACAGAAAGTCAGGACCTAGGTTTAATGTCTCATCCAAAGGATGGTGTTTTTTCTTTTTCTTTTTTTTACAAGTATTGCATCCCTATACTGGGGCATTAGAATCCACACAGACCACAGGATGAGCTCCCCCTGCTGGCCTCACTACCACCTCTTTCAGCAGCAACCTAGTTTTCCTGCTTAGCTTCAGTTGGCAACCAGTCTTAGGCTACAGTGTGATATGGCTCCTGAAGTGAGAATAATATTGTATTACTTATAGCCGTGTTTTGCCCGATTATACAGGTGCATCTCAATAAATTAGATAAATTATTTCAGTAATTCAACTCAAATTGTGAAACTTGTGTATTAAATAAATTCAATGCATACAGACTGAAGTAAGTTTGAGTCTTTGGTTCTTGTAATTGTGATGATTTTGGCTCACATTTAACAAAAACCCACCAATTCACTATCTCAACAAATTAGAATACTTCATAAGACCAATAAAAATTTTTTTTAGTGAATTGTTGGCCTTCTGGAAAGTATGTTCATTTACTGTACGTGTACTCAATACTTGGTAGGGGCCTCGACATTCTAATTTATTGAGATGCACCTGTATTGTTAGGGTGACCCTCTCACAGACCTGTGACCTTCTTTGGTCGCGTATCATGTGACTTCCTGACTGATTCACAGGAAAGATCTAGCCTGTTTTCCTATAATGTGGTCAGTCTTATTACATCAGTTATTTAAGATGTTGAATATGCTCCAGCTGGATTTTTAAGAGAGTAAATGTTAAAATGAAACATTATATTACAGGTTATGTTAGAGATTTGGAAGGGTTTCTGTTATCTTTTAATTTTTGTGTGGTTTCAGTTGTGCTTTGGTTGTTGGCAGCTACATTACTACATTAGAGCCATGCTAACGCTAGTACTGACAATGAGCAATAGTCATGCTAATCCTAGTACACACTACAATCTCTACTTGCTCATCCCATATGTTAGTATGCTAACATGTACTATTGCTAGGAGTATTTCATAAACAAACTTAAAACGTATTATTTAACTTATAACGTTGTTGTTCTTAATTGTTGAAATATAATTTTTTAGTTACAATGATACAATGAGTATTATGAATATTACATGATGTGTCAGTGTTTCTTGTATTGAATGATGGTTTTATGGGTTTTATAAACATCTGTTATGGTGCTGTATTTGATGAATCATTATACAGACAAAAACACAAGGCCATTTAATGTGACTTACAAAGACACACTGACATAAATAAATCATCTTACCAATTTCAGTGCATCTTGTTTGTGAAAAAGTAGGTTCAGCGTAAGAGATCTCTTCATTGCCAGTCTCACCTGATTCTACAACAAAACTAATTTTGAACTATTATTAATCTTATCAGTGCTGTCAAAGTTAAAGCATTGATGCATGTAATTAATTAAATATGTTTAAGGCGGCAATTTGTAAAACAGCATCAACAAATTCTGATTATACATTGTTCAAATACACAAAAGTTCCAGAGCTGAGTATCTTTATTACTAAATTTGAAGAGACATTCTATAAAAAATAATTTATAAATCAAGACCAGATCAAATGTCTGACAAATAAATTCAAGTAAATTCATAGTGAAATATAGTCTTGATTTAAGCTCAATAAGTGAAAGATCATCTTGCAGAGATATGTTAATTTGAACATAATCCCATACACATTTTTATGAACAATTATTAACATTGATTATGAACGTTTATTATTGAATTTTGGCAGATTTGCATTTCTCTGTTTGCGTTTGGCAGATTTCCTTTTTTTCCCCCCACTTGCCAGATTTGCAGTTCTCTGTTTGCATTTCCAGTTTTTTTTTAATGCAGTTTGGGAAATATTTTGTTGTTGTTGTCTTCCGAGTGAAATGAGTAGAGTTTGATCCAGTCTCATTACCTGTACATGAATGTGGATATGTTTCTGATATGAGTTTAATATACGGAAATTGCTTAAGCCAATAACTACATTTCAGTTACTTCTCATATTAAAGAACTAGAGGGTGTTACCTCCAAAAAATTATGAGATTAATTGTGATTAAATGATAATTATGGCTATCATTTGAATAAAACACTTTGAACGCAGTAGGAAACACTTGCCTTCTTGGTTTGTTTTTCTTTGTTTCCGGCGGATCCAGAAGATCCCAGTTACAGTGACAATCAGCAGAGATCCAGCAGTAGAAATCAGCACTATCAGAGATACAGAGTCTGGAGGATGAGAAGGAGAGTAAAGGAGATACATTATCATAAGTGAATAAAGACTATATCAGTGCTGCTGTACCTGAACATGTGTGACAGAGTTGACTGATGTCCAGATGTGTGGTCTGGTTGCTGATGAGATTGTTGAGCACACAGCTGTAGGTGTTGTTATCCTGATATTCCACCTCCAGAGGTAGAGAGAGACTGATGCTGAGATCAGACACACTGATGCTGGACAATAAACTGTTTCCTTTGTACCAGGAGAGAGTCACATGACCCACATTCACCACTAAACACAACAATGAACAATTCTGCTGTGATGATGATGATGATGATGAAGAAGTGCCTCTTCCTGTCCTGCTACTAACATCAGTTGATCCACACAAAACAGCTTCACAGTCAAATAAAGTACTCAATCCATGATATGACAAGATGTAACTGCTTGAAAACTCAAAGAAGAGTCACCAGTCAGAGATCAAACTGGATTCTAAAAATCTAAAATTACTGATAAATTACATAGATTCACTTCTGATTAATTTTACAACTGGCAATTGATTAATGCGAAAGTAGCGTGTGTTGTAGTGCAACCAATAGTTCCAAGAATGGATAGCTTGTCTTCTGAGTTTTACATATTGTTTGCAAAACAATTAGCTCCTTTCCTTTTGCAAGTTTTCAGAGAAAGTATTTCAAAAGGCTCTCTTCCCTCTATGCTTACACAAGGCCTTATTACGTTACTCCCAAATGCCAAAAAATATGTTTTTTTCTTGACAGTCAGCTCCCTATATGTCTTCTTAACAATGATTATAAAATTCTAGCTCTATTTTTTGCTAAATTACAATTTTTTTTAACGTATTTCTAATAATATTACATCAGTGTTAGATATTATTGATTATTCAGACTTAATTGTTCATGAGAGCTTTATTTTGTTTTTATAGATCTTTTGAGTCTGTTGAGCATAATTTTCTTTTTCATGCTTTAGAAATTTTTAATTTTGGTCCTTTTTTATCAAAGCAGTTTACATTTTATGTAAATGCAAATTGTTCTATCAAGTAAAAAAAACAACAGGCTTATCTACCAGATTTAATTTGCAACATATTAATTTTTATTAGCTGGACATTTGCTTTATATTAATCTTTGGGCAAGCTCTGTGCATTAATATTTCTGACAGGCAGGTCATACTGAGTCAACTAACGGATGCTACTTAATTGTTTTTACACAACTCTGCTCAGGTTTCTCAGGCTTCAGGTTTATACTTAAATATGAATAAATGTGAGTTATTTTCAATCAAACATTGTCTTTTGACAAACATAGATGGTATCCCAGTGAAAGATAAAGTCACTTATCTGGTTATAGTCATATCAAAGGATGTGTGGATAACACTTTCCTGATTACGGAAAAAATCTAAAAGAAACCAAATCTCTGGTTACACAGAGATTTGTCTCTTAAGGGCAGAACTTTACTTTCTAGAGGGTCTTTCTCGTCTAGCTCTACAAAGTTTCTTTATGTTGATACTCAGACTTCTAAAACCACTGACCAATATTTATAGATTTTTTTATGGAAAAATAAGAAACATTTAATTAAAAAGTCTGTAGTCATGCGGTCTCAATTTTATCCGCTTACTGCTGTTAATTATACATTCAAAATTAATTGGATTAAACGA